GCAGAGCTGGTACGACGCTCGCACGATTGTGCCTGTGAAGGAAATGCAGTTTTAGATGACCTTCTTTATGTGCATAGCTACACACACACAGACATTACTACTAACTGCCTACAGTAGTGGTCACTTCTAACTAACTGGGAAGCGGGGGTCTTATTCACAGACAAACACTTTACCTGGCCGCCAGATGCAAAAGAGATTCTCCGGTCCCGGGGAAGGTCATGGAAACCAGGTGGGTCAGTAGGCTTGATTGGTAGTCCACCTCATGAGGTCTACCTCCGGCGCGTGGACTGTAACGCGTCTGTTGCAGCGGGCCACTGTCCATTCGGCGTAGAAACTCCAGTTTCTGGATAAAGTTCTTACTGGAGGTGAGACCAGTCGGGGGCTCGCCTAAACCATCCGTGGAGACGAGATCTTCCACAAGATCGGTGAAGTAGGCATTTGAATCAAAGTGGGTGCGAGTTGCAGGAAAGACTTCAGATGTCATGCTGGGAGCTGAAGTCATCAGGGGCAAGGTCGGATCCAACCTTTGCGAACTGCAGTCCTGGTTAAGAAGACACGTATTGTAAGACTTAGAAAGTAACCATGACTTTTAAGTAAGTGATAGTAGTAGAGAACAATGAGCTGGCAAACGGTTGAGCAGCCACGGGTGTGGAATGGTTCTTTTAAGCAGACTGGGGGAAAAGAGCAAATGTGGTGAGAAAGGACGTCTTTAAAATGGACTTGCACTATCTACTTTCCTTGGATCCTGATGATCTCAACGACTAATTGGGCTGGTGGCCCTAACTGGTTGCAGAATTATAATAAGTGATAGCAACGTTGCCCATAGCTCTGCCCCATAGTAGACCTAAGTGCAAATACAGAACGGTTGGTGTTACAGTTCACTTTAGCCCATTGAGAGGAATAGACTTGTGGTTAAAAGTTCTATAAAGATGCCGAACGTTGAACGATTAAACGGATAAACAGAAGCCAGCTCGCAAACTAGTAAAGACTGAGAATTGCTCACCACTAGTAGAGATCCGAGCTAAGTTCGAACGGTAGCTGCAAGTGAATGTGTCAATTCTGTGAACATCTCTATGCACAAGTACACATACTCTCTTTATGAATCCGAAAACGTTCAAATTAGTCACTTGGGGTTCCAGACCAGTGCATAATTTAGGTAATTATTTACCGTATTCGTACCACAAGTAATGACTAAAAGCGAAGGCGTGTGCTTCGCCGCTGTAAAGCACAGGTGTGAGGGGGATTTGGCTCATCTCCAGCATTCCTGTGTACTTCCTGGCAGATACTTCAGTTTCCAAGTTCGAGCTTACTACTTTCCTCAGAAAGCACACAAAGAATGCTGGAGGACCCACTGATGAGCTGAACCTCTCGCATTTGAATCAAGGAGCGGCAAGATATTGGCGAAACACGTGTCTTGGTTTTTGGCTAGTACTTGTGCTGGCAGTTTAGTCGATATTTACGCAGATTATACTACCGACTGCCTGGTGACAGCTTGTGGATATCGTGCGGTTATCCCGCAGTGGCTGAGGTTCTTCGGACAAAATGTTCCAAACAAACGTCGGTCTGTGCCTGCAGACCCTTGAATATACCGATCTACCGACATTTGTTGGTGATCTTCTCCGAGTTAGGGATTAATTTCGGGGGAAATTTTTAAAAAACTGCAGGAACACCTATTTACTATCCTGTAGGACAAGCACATGGAGGCCCTGCGCATGTGGCTTCACATCTTTTCGATCCCTTCCAACACCAAGCGAGTTGGTTGGCTCATGGAGATACAGCCACCGACTTGAAATGTCTCAAGCACCGCTGTACTGTACTTTGGTGTTCCAACAGATGAAAGGTCAAGAACTTCGCAGAGCAATTCTTGCCACGCACAGGCGGCCCACTTCGTATCCACTAGACTACCATTCATCGATGGAATGCATGCTTTGGTTGATAAATCATGGTTCATTAGAGGTCGTGTGAGATCTTTTGCCACCGTTTTAACTTAATTAATGTTGCAATGCCTTCTGGCGGGACTGAAGCTCATTGCGTCAGCTTTATTGTGGTCCCGCAGGCCTCCCATTCGGTTCGTACGAATATTCGCAAAGTTAAAATGGGGAGACGTTACCCTACCAAGCTGAGCTCCCCCCTACTCTTACGTGTCATCATTGAAAGACAGTGTCGGCGCTCAGTCCACATGAGAGGGCATTTCACTCATGCGTTGTCTGCCTTGGTGTGCCCCTTGTCTGCTCGTTTAATAAGCGTCTTTGCTCAAGACTAGTGAATCCTACTACGATTAACTACTGGCCGTTTGTGCCTTTTCTGTAATACTATAGTTCAACCGTCGGTTTTGATGATATCCGCCGTGTACTCCACAGTATGGTGGTGCAAGGACGGTTACTTCCGCTGGATTACAGTGAAAGTAGACTCGTAGTTCACCTATCTCTC